AGAGAGAGAGAGAGAGAGAGAGAGAGAGAGAGAGAGAGAGAGAGAGAGAGAGATTTGTGAAAGTTACAAAGGAATTCTTCAATTTCTGAAAAGAGGCTGGGTGTGGTGGTTCACACCTTTAATCCCAGCACTAGGGAGACAGAGGCAGGCAGATCTTTGTGAATTCAAGGCCAGTCTGGTCTATAGAGTGAGTTCAAAGACAGCCAGAGCTACTTCGTGAGACCTTGTCTCAAAAAATGTGACCTAAGTGATCTCCCCCTGACTGCCCCATGACCCAGAGCTAAAAAACTCAGTACCTTGAACTTACTAGCCAATCAGTCAACCGCTGAGCTAAATATCAAACTTATTTACTTTTTAAAGATTTATTTTATTTTTACTTATGTGGGTGCATGTGTATGCACATGTATGGGTACCCACAGAGGCCAGGAGAAGGTATTGGATCCCATGGGACTGGAGTTACAGGCAGTCGGGAGCTGCCTAACAAGGGTACTGGAAATTGAACTGAGGTCCTCTGAAAGAGCACTGTGTGTCTTAACAACTGAGTTATCGCTCCAGGCTCTTCCTCCCTTCTTCCCTCCTTCTTTCCCTCATTCTCTCACTCCCTCTCCAGTCCAACATCCTTTTTCTTTTTTTTTCTTTTTTCTTTTTATTTTTTGGTTTTTTTTGAGACAGGGTTTCTCTGTGGCTTTGGAGCCTGTCCTGGAATTAGTTCTGTAGATCAGGCTGGCCTTGAACTCACAGAGATCCGCCTGCCTCTGCCTCCCGAGTGCTGGGATTAAAGGCTTGCGCCACCACCGCCCGGCCCAATGTCCTTTTTCTTAAGACAAGGTTTCTCTATTTATTCAAATTGGTCTTGCTCTAACTCATTAGGTAGCCCAAGGTGGCCTCAAACTTGTATCAATCTTCCTGCTTCAGCTTCCTAAATGCTTGAATTATAGACATACACCCCCATATATGGATTTCAAAACTCAAGTCCAAGTGGATCAACAACCTCAACATAAATCCGTTTACATTGAACCTCATAGAAGAGAAAGTGAGAAGTAGCCTTGAACACATTGGCACGGGAGACCACTTCCTAAATATAACACCAGTAGCACAGACACTGAGAGCAACAATCAAAAAATGGGACCTCCTGAAACTGAAAAGCTTCTGTAAGGCAAAAGACACAGTAAATAAGACAAAATGACAGCCTAAAGAATGGGAAAAGATCTTCATCACCCCCACATCTGACAGAGGGCTGATCTCCAAAATACATAAAGAACTCAAGAAACTAGACATCAAAACACAAAATAATCCAATTAACAAATGGGGTACAGATTTAAACAGAATTCTCAACAGAAGAATCTCAAATGGCCAAAAGACATTTAAAGAATTGCTCAACATCTTATCTATCAGGGATATGGAAACCAAATTGATTCTGAGATACCATCTTACACCTGTCAGAATGGAAGATCAAAAATACTGAGGACAGCTTATAATGGAGAGGATGCGGAATAGAGGAACACTCCTCCACTGCTGGTGGGAGTACAAACTTGTGCAACCACTTTGGAAATCAGTATGCCAGTTTCTCAGAAAATTGGGAACCAATCTACCACAAGACCCAGTGATACCACTCTTGAGCATATACCCGAAGGATGCTCAATCATACCACAAGGACACCTGCTCATGTTTATAGCAGGTTTATTATAGCATAATAATGTTTATAGCAACATTATTCATAATAGCCGGAACCAGGAAACAACCTAGATGCCCCTCAGCCAAAGAACGGATAAAGAAAATGCTCTAATTTAACTATTAAGAATTAACTAATTTCCGTGTTAATCTTTGCTTCTTCCAATATACACGGTAAACCACTAGATACCTGTCGAACTGGTAAGAATTGGTAATTGTTTCAGTTAATATGTAACTTAAAAGTTCCAAAAGTGGTGCTGGAAAAGAGAGACGGGATTATGATGGCTAACCATGATTACTGAACTGTGATAAGTGGCGGCTATCTGAGGCATGGGTGTGCTTATTTTGTGTATTCCTATGTAACTTCATTCAGTTTCAGAGTAGTTTTCTGCTTTTACCAAATTTTTTGGCGGTGAAATTATGCATATGCAAATGTGGAATTCCCCCCCACGCTCTATTTTTAATGTATTTATCATGATAGAACAAACGTAATCTAACAAATTCCCTCTTGAGATAATTCCAGTTTGTTTTCTTCCAGAGTCCTGAACAAAAGAGTGCATGGCTACATAGTATTCTATAATAAAATAACACATTTGAATTGCAGGCTGCTTCTGTTATGTCCTTACATTTCTAGACTTTCTACTTCTGTTCTTGTTAGCTTAAGGACTGAAAACTCATTTTAATGTTAACATAAAGTATCACTTAAAAGGTACATCGAAAGGCTGGAAAAAGATATAAAGATTCCAAAGCCAAACAGGAATGAGTGTTTTAATATTTAGTATCTCAGCTAGAACACAACTGACCTTTACAAACAGATAATTTAGGGTTGAGGATTAGAAAATGTTATCTTGCCCCTGACAAGGTCTGAACAATATCAGAATGTGTTTTTCATGGATTCTGATATTGCGAAACCCATAAGAAAAAGTCTCGCGCAAGTAGCAATATCAAATCTTTTTGTGTCTGTATTGAATCGCCAATACTGTGATCCTCTATGCAATTTTTTCCTGAGTTATCACTGTAGTGCAGGCTTCACGAAAGGCTACATGGCTTTCAAGGTGCTTGGATCACTGATGTTCTGAGTGACTACTCCCAGGGTCCTCACAAAACTAGCTCGAGGGAGCCTGACAGTTTGGTTTATTCTTGTGAAGAGAAGAGAGGAAACACTCCACAATAAGCTGTTCCATATGGTAGTCGCGACTTCTTCTCTATATAGAGGAGGTTAGCCAAGCACAAAGACTTCCCTTAAACCTACTTTAGCCTTCGAGCAGTGTAGTTCTTCCAGTCACTGGAAATGAGCCAAGTGGGGAAAAGATTTTATCATAGTTTCCATCTATGCAGAAGATTTTGTGAGCTTATGATTTCCGTGGAATGAATTCGAACAACAATTTAATTCAAGGGTACTTTCAGTTATGGGGTGACAGACAGAATACTGTTGTATAGACAAGAGTTCAACAAAATTTTCTGTAGAGACTCCGATAGTAAATAGTTCACACCTTGCAAGTCATACAATCAACATTTCAACCACTAAACTCTTCCAGGCAAACAGTCAACACATAGCATAAAAAGCCCTATCTATATACCAATTAGATGCTATTTTCAAAACCAGCACTGACCAGTTTGTTGACCCATACTTAGGAAAACAATAGTTTCTCCCTTTTCTTCTGTTTGTTTTTATTTGTTTTATAGAACCTCAGGGCTGTCCATGAAAGGGTCAGGGAAAGCCAATAAAACAGAGACCTGAACTACCTCTGCTACAAACAAAATATTTAAAAATTATATATGGATATTCTTGTGAAATTAGATTTTTTTTCCAGACAGGGTTTCTCTGTGTAACATTCCTGGCTGTCCTGGAACTTGCTCTGTAGACCAGGCTGGCCTCAAACTCACAGAGATCTTTCTGCCTCCTGAGTGCTGTGCTTAAAGGCGTGCACCACCACCACCCGGCTATAGAGAAAACATTTAAAACCACTGCTTTGAACTAAAAGTAATGCTTTAACTCAAAAAACAGATATTTGGGCAAAATAAACACATCTTTAACATTTCCAAAAATGATGAATGTCAGGATATGTTTTATTGCTCCCAACAATGAACTTTTCCACGAAGTTATAAAAGCATTTAAATAGACAACTATAATAACTCTAAGAGCACTGGCTTATCATTCCTACCCCCCATTCTGACCTTTTCTCAATGGAGAAGTTAATGTTTAACTTACCTTGAAGACTCCAAGAGACTTGGCATGGAATATTCAAATAAAACTTCAAACTAGGACTCCGATACGAGACTGTGAGCTTGTGGGAGACAGGAACTAAGTTGCCTTCTTCACATTCAAATAGTCTTTAGCACTTTAGAGTACTGCATGACATTAAAGAGTACATGTTCACTGAATTGCTATATATTCCCACACAGCAACATAGCATTCAAATATTTTCCTTTAATATACGAACAGATGATGCCTCTATAATAAACCAAAATATTTTAAGAAACATATAGGTTCAGTAGAAAGAAATTAGGAAGAAAATAAATGTATATGGTTATATACTTTCATACAACATACATTTGATAAATATAAACTATCCTTTTCCATAATCTGAAAGGAAAAGGGCTATCCTCTATGGTGAATGACAACAACAACAAAAAAACATCATTTGGGATGAATTTTTGGCTCTTTGAGGCAGAGTCTTAGGTCGCTCAGGATGGCCTCAAACTCATTATATAGCTTAAGATGACTTTGAAATACTGATCTTCCTTCCTCCACCTCTCAAATGCTAGTATTGTTGACATTCACCAATGCACCTATTGTCATTGACTCATTTTAACTGATAAATATTTGCTCATATTTGGAGAGTACAAAGTGACATGTTGATCAGTGTAAACACTTTAGAAAGATTCAATAAAGCTGCATCATCTCAACAGCTTATTTAATAGTAAGGTTCATAAGTCTATTCTTCAACACATTTAAAACACATAAAAATCTAATAGTAATTTTTGATAAAAGTTATATTTTCACAAGAACCCACAATTCCCTTTGGAAATCTATAAAGCTCTTGAAATCCAGATATTTTCATGTTAATTTAAAAGGCTGGATTTTAAGTCTCCATTTTAATTAAATATATATATACCGAGTGATCTGCACTAAAATGATTTATGAGCAACATAAACTGGTCTCAGTAGGTTGCGTATATACATATATATATTTATTATACATATGACAATAATAATTAGAGGAGACCCATTGTTTTGGAGGGGTACTGACAAGGGAAGGGTTAAAGCGAGGAGGGGGTAAAATGATCTAAATACAGTACACAATTTTTGTTTTAAGGAACTTATTTGACAATCAAATTATCTATCTCAATTTATTTGGCAGTAGTTATCTGAACTGAATGAGGCTATACACTATTTTTTGTTTACTCATATACACTATCATATGTTCTGCTGCAAAATATTAACATATTTGATTATGTTGTGTTTTTCCTATATCCTTTGGGATGTTACACAATCTAGAGTTTATAGCATTTAAATTTATAGAAATTGGTGGTGGTGCATGTCTTTAATTCCAGCATTCAGAAAGCAGAGGCAGGTGGATCTCCAAGTTTGTGGCTAGCCTGGTCTACAGAGTGAGTTCCGTGACAGCCAAGGCTACACAGAGAAACTGTGTCTTGAAAAAATACAAAAATAAATTATAGAACTTCCCCAGAGCACACTAGACCTTGCGTGGGGTTGGATGCTTCACAATGCTTTTAGAACCCTATTTCCAATCTCTCTGAGGCTCTGTCCCTGGTTCCAGTCCAAGCTTTTATGCTGCCATCTTGATTAACGGTTGAGGCAGCACAAACAACTCCCAGAGCCTATCATGACGTCAGTGGAAGAAATAAATGTGCCTCATGAAAACACTGAAAGTCAATATTATCACTTTAATGGGCAATGAATGACCCTTTGTTTTAGAAAGAACATCTCAGTCTTTTAAAAAGTATCTTTCTGTTTCAGTCTCTGGACATTGGGCAACTGAAAATCGGCTCAGAATTAAGTTACTGTCTTATCCTTGCAATGACATCGTCTTTTCTCATAACCGTGTGTGTGCATACATACACACATATCACACACACACACACATATATTATTTGACTGACACACATCTTGGGCAGTATAGAATGTCTCTCACATTGTGGGCGGCGACGTCGGATAAGTGTTGAGAAGAAGTAATTAGAGGCTTTATTCTAGTCCGGCTCCAGCAATAAACGCACCATTAATTCCTCTTCGGAAATGGGACACTCCACAGCTATCTCATTTTTATGGACTTTACCCTTTGGCCATCTGGATCATTTGTAGATCTCAACTAGAGACCTCATAGTAAGCAAATAAGACATCTCTGTTCCTATAAACTAGAGACGGCGTGAGGCTGCCAAAATCCTACTTATGGTGGGGTATTTCAGACTGTCTAGGAGGACAAAGTAAAGTACAAACCCAAATGCCCACAACCGTTCTCTCACGAAAAATGGAAGAGACTCATAATCATCCCTCTTTTCCGAACTGCACTTCGTAGAATTAGTGAGTAAAACGCTAAGCCACAGCCCACCTAACTCGGGCGTGCCTCAGACTTTTGGCACCAGGCTGCTCCTGCGCAGGTCCTAGACTCCACCCCTCCGAAGAGTAGCCACCTCCCTCCCTCTACTTCCGGCCTCTACCAAAGGCCCCTAATGCGCTTGCGCCGTCTTGACAGGCTTCTCCCGCATTAGTAATCAGAACATTGCCTCTCTGGGACCGCCCTCCCCCCCGCCCCCCGCCACCTCTCCGCCCCGCCCACGCTTTACCGGCCCGACCCGAAATCTCGCGAGGGTAGGTGCGCGTCGGTATTTTGCGGGCTAGTAGCTTTCCCAGCAGCTGTAATTGCCGCTGCGGGAGAAATTGGAGCTGTTGTCGCCGGCACGCCCGCTGCCTCTCTCCCGGACTGAGAAGAGCCACAGCCTCTTCTCTAGCGCTCTTCATACACCTAGCGCCCTGGACGCCGGCAACAGTCCCAGACCCACTGCAGCCACCTCAGGCATTCGCTTTGCAGGTCATCACCCTTAGCCCGGCAACTGAGGGTGGTCCCCTGTCCCTAACCGACTTCTCACTCCACGTCATCTGTGCCCTCCTCAGCGGCGCCCGGGACCCACCTCTCCACACACTAACTGACGAGGAGGAGACGCTGAGAATCACCCTTCCTCCAGGCGGAGCCGGCCCCCTCACCCGCGGGTGTGTCCTATAAATGGCGTCGGAAAGCGACACCGAAGAATTCTATGATGCCCCTGAAGATGTGCACCTGGGGGGCGGCTATCCTGTAGGGTAAGTACCCGAAGCCCGGGCCCAGTCTCGGACATCCCGGTCTCTTCTTTTTCCCGTGCCTCCCTTCACTCCTCTCCCCAACCCCGCTGTGTCCGTCACCGCCGTTCCTCTTAGTCTCACTTGGACACCTCAGAACCCAAACCTGGGACTCCTTAGGGCAGGGTGAGTTGGAAGAGGGACAGGGAATCCTGCTCCACCCTTTTCCCTAGTGAACAGCGCGGGGACTCCTTCGGAACCCCTTTCTTGTCTTCACTGGCCATTGAGTGGATGGCATTTGTGCCTGAGAGGCAACGATTTCTATTTGCGGTGTTCAAAGCGTACCTTTCTAACATCTGCTTTGGCCCTGGGGTACCAAAAGGAGCGGTAGCGGCAGAAACTGAACTTCCCCGACTCTCTCTCTCTCTCTTTTTTAACCTCTAGTTTATCTATTCGTTTCCGAAGGGGCTGTAACGCTGCTCTAGTTGCCACTCACCTTTTCTTTTGCATAAAAAAGAAGCGGGGAGTAAGCAGGTATTTATTTAAGGAAGTCCTGCAGCCGACGCGTTCGGCATCAACAGTGTTTTATTGAAATAGCACTTTACTGTGCGTGCGCCAGAGGAAACTGTAGACGAGGTCCTTCCCATCGGAGAGCGTGATGTGGTCTGAGCCGGCAGCCGGGCACAAATGTACACAGCCCAGTGCCGAGGCACAAACAAGTGCTGACTAATCTGGTCCTGGGAAGGACAACTCCGCTTTGGACCCTTTCTCTAATTTTGCAAGATGTTTTACTGGTGATTAATCCGGGTAGCTCCGAGTAGGAAGTTCACCATGGAAAGCTTCTCTGACCAGGATTTGGAACTTTTTACTCCTCCACTGTTAGAGTTAAAGTAGCGTTTGACATGCTCTCCCAAACTCTTCTCTTGACATGCCTGCAACTAGAAGCAGTGAAATAGAGTCTCAGACTATAAGATCGTGAAAATTGGTAAAAATGTGTCAGATTCTTGGAGTTGAACTCTCTTTACGCCATGGAAGAAATACTTTGGCTAGAAATAAAGTTATCTGTACATTTTAGAAGTCCCTTTAAAAGCCTGCTATGTATTATATACAATACATACCCCAAAAGTTACAGCAAGGCAATCAGAAAGAAATGGATGTTGGTAGATTACTAATGTGTGTTTCCAGGAAGCTGTCTGTCACTTTTGTGAGAGTTTAGAATGATAACGATCTGCCATGAGATAACGCTGAATCTCCTTGAAGTTCAGTATCTGATTCAAATTCATAACTGGGTCGAACAGGGCAGAAAATGCATTTAGATTTTCAAACATAATGGGTTCTCCTGAAATAAAGTCTGTGTGTGCTTTTCTCTTCAAAGTAATGAACTGTCAGTAACTGTCAGGTCAGGCTAAATGAAAGAATAATCACTTAGTAAGCATTTATGCATTTTTGTTTTTCTTTTTATGTGGGGGAATAATCAGTTTTGACTGTGTTAGCAATTTAGAGCCTTGTGGATATTGCTCTTCCTCACTGAATAAAAGAAGTTTAGTCTGGAAAGGACAGTTATTTCAGAACCTCTGTAAACTGTTAAGTTCAGTACCTGACACAGAAAATGTTCAAAAGTAAATTCTTCTCTTCTTTTCTTGACATTAGACTGTTAGCATTATCCAGTGCTTACTTTGGGGGAAGGATACAAACTTAGGCTGTTTCTCTTATCTGAATCCAGTGAGTCATTATGATAGAATTGATAGTCACTTCTTCCCCCTGGGATCATATGGCCTCTCAGGAACTTTATACTTCGATTGTAGGTGAAAAGTTTGTTTCTTTTTCAAGTCCTTTGGGACCCAGCTTCCTAAATTTAACTCTAGCTCACCCCCAAACTGAGCATGTTGAGAGCTTCATGGAAAAATGACAAGATTTGTTTGGGTTATTACATGTCCTTTTTTTTTTTTCTGCTGTATTAGTGGGAGAATTGGAAAAAGAATAGATTTATCTGGAAAATTGGACCTGAGAACAGTTAGCAATATAGAGAGGGCAGAAAGGGGGTGGCTTTGTGGATATTTTCCTCTATCCTGTGGCACACTTGTAAGGTACTGTGATCAGACAGAGCTTGGCAGCTAACAGCTTTAAAAACTCAGTGAGAAATCTTGATTTCTGAAAACAGGTGGCATCACGAGCTAGTCAATCCTAAGAAATGTCTTCTGTTCCTTGACATGAACTGAAGTGGCACACCATACAAGCTCTAAGAGGCTAATTGAGTAAATTTGGCCACTTAAAGAAATGCTTCTTGATGTTTGTATGTTTGGGAACACACAGCATTTCATCAAATTGCACTAAACTGAGTTGACACTTGAGAGACATCTAATAATTTGTTAATCAGAAGAATCCAAATACACAGTCTGTTCCCTAATACTGATTTATTTCTTAAATTTCTTACCTATTTGTTAATCTATATCTTGAAAAAAATTAATAAGCAGCCCAGTTTGAGTCCACTACAGTTATGTTTCAGCAGTGGCAGATCTGCTCTTACCCATTTTATAATGTGTACCCCATTTGTAATGGTTTCTGTGATTAGTACTTTCTCCATTTTTACATTTGAGATCTTAGAGGACTTAAATACATTGTTCTAGGAGAAACAACTTGCAAGCAACAGAGCTGGCCTTTGAAACCATCTCATCCAACACTAGCCCAGTGTTTTTTCTGATGCATCATAGCTGTTCTGCACCGTGTAAAGAAGGGATCGTCCCTCAATTGATACAAGAGGAAAATGCTTTGTTACCAACCTTCTAAATTGAATTGATAAATCTATTTAAAGCCATCAGCCCCAACTTTTCAGTTCTTTTTGCTGCAAATTCCCACCTTCTCTTTCAAGAATCTATATTTTTGTTTATTATGTAGGACTTTTGTAATGTCGTAGTATGTTATACCTAGAAATGGCAGTTGTTTTAACTCTTACAAAATGTTAGGAAAACTAAAGCCCAGAGAAAGAAAGTGGTTTACCCATGATGCCACAGTGAATTAATAACAGAACTTCATCCCAGATCAGTTTCATAATGTGACATTCTTTCTGTTCTGCTGCTTAATACAGCAGGAAAGGCAGGGGGAACTGTGGTATAGTAGAAAAGAGCCCAACACTGTGAACCATCTTATTTCCTCAACTTTAAGTTGAAATTACATTTTAAGAACTCTTTGAAATTGAAATGTCCGTCATTGTATTGAAATTTAGTACTGTGTGCTTTTACTGATAAACTTATTCTCTTGGCGAAATCTGTATATCTGTATGTATTGTGTGTATGTATATCACACACATACACGTTGTTGAGTTGCTTTTTGTTGTATTGGCGATTGAATCTAGGGTCTGATACATGCTAGATATACTCTATCACTCATTTGTATTACCAGACTATTTTGTTTTGTTTTATTTGTATTTTAATGTATATCCTGCCAAGTTGACCAGGCAGGCCTTGAGCATTCTGTCCTGCTTCAGCTTCCCGAATAACTAGATTTACTGGCCAGTAAGTCCAGTAGGCCTGGCTTACATATTTTTATAATGTTTTATTTAAACAAACATTGATGACTTTGATATATGGTTCTAAATCCATAAATTTGAAATTATTTACTGCATAAATTATATATGAGATGGATGCATCTTAAACAACTGTAAATTATACCTATATATTCTAAAGGCTACAATGGAGAACATTATAAAAATAAATGTAATATTTTCAACATTATTTTTTAGTGATAGTCAAACTCCTAGACTTCATAGGTCTCAAAGTCTTAGAGGGATAGGCCGGGTGGTGGTGGTGCATGCCTTTAATCCCAGCACTCGGGAGGCAGAGGCAGGCGGATCTCTGTGAGTTTGAGGCCAGCCTGGCCAATAAGAACTAGTTACAGGACAGGCTCCAAAACTACAGAGAAACTCTGTCTTGAAAAATCAAAAAAAAAAAAAGGCTAGAATCATTCATTTTAAGAATAGGAATTAATTAGACATAATTTGGCTCAGACTTCACATTTAACTGAAAGTGAAACCTAGACGTAAAGAAGGAAGTGACACATCGTAGTTCAAACTAAAATCCAGGCCTTTTGATGATGCCACGTTTGCTTGGAGAGAGTAAGAGCAGGTAGTTATGCTAAGATTTTTGGCACATACCCTATTAAGTCAGGCCACTAAGGTGATCTACTTCTATTTAACATGATTTTTTAGGCTTTCTTTTTCAAAAGACATCGTTCTAGGATTCTAATTATGGCTCACTAATTTCCTTCAAGTCAGAATGAAAACCAATGATTGAATAGCTTATCTATGAACAGCGGTAATGTAGCTTTGTTTCATTTCTAGTGGTTTTGTTAATGTTACCTGCAATTTACCATGTTTAGGTTGGAGTAGTGGTAAATTACGAACTGAATCGTGGGAACAGAGGCTCAGGTGTGTGGAAGAATTGTTAGGAATAGTTGAGCACAATAACCCACTCACGTCTGCAATCCCAGCACTCAGGAGGCTGAGTAGCAGGAGGATCATGTCAAGGTTGAGACCAGCATGGTCTGCATAGTGAATGCCAGGACTGCGTATCAAGACCCTATCTAAAATAATAATAATAAAAGTAAACAAAAAGGGCAAGAGAGATGGCTGTTCTGTAAGAACACTTGGCTATGCAAACAGGAAGCTCTGCATTTGAGTACCAAGTCCCGCATGGCTGTACCTGCCATAACCCTAGTATTGGGGGCCGAAGCAGGTGGATCCTAGGAGCTTGTTGGCTGGCCAGCCTAACCGAAATTGTGACCTTAGGGTTCAGTGAGAGACCCCATGTCAAAAAAGTTAGAGAGCAGTAGAGGAAAATACCTGCTGGGCTTTGTATGTACACAAACCCATACACATATGCTCATATACCATACATATACACATGGAGATAAACCCAACAGAATGATTAGATCTGAAAACACCCCAAACTGGATGGCTTCCTATGTTGAAAACTCAGTTTTCTTATTTCACTTTGGCACCAGAGGCATTTCACCCTGAACTGAAAATT